AGAGAGCACACACACACACACAGAGAGCACACACACACACACAGAGAGCACACACACACAGAGAGCACACACACACACACAGAGCACACACACACACAGAGAGCACACACACACACACAGAGCACACACACACACAGAGAGCACACACACAGAGAGCACACACACACACACACAGAGCACACACACACAGAGAGCACACACACACAGAGAGCACACACACACAGAGAGCACACACACACAGAGCACACACACACACACAGAGAGCACACACACACAGAGAGCACACACACACACACAGAGAGCACACACACACAGAGAGCACACACACACAGAGCACACACACACAGAGAGCACACACACACACAGAGCACACACACACACACAGAGCACACACACAGAGAGCACACACGGAGGACAAAGATCCCGAATCTCGGAACGCCCAAGCGGTTCAATTTATTTCGAGGGGCGTAGCGCCGCTGGTTTTGAAGACATTGTACTCAGCTGCAGTGAGCCGCAGCGACACGACGGCGCTCTACGACAGCTGGCGCCAAACTGTGCCACATGCCCTCCCGCATGGCATTCTGGGATCCTCGGTACGGATAATGTTTTTATTTTTTTTTAAATTGATAGCGTACATGGACGTCCCGAGTTCGATTCCCGCTCACGGCCAACACCGTTGACGGTTATTTGAACCGGTCCCGGGCCTCCCCTAGGTTGACTCGGCCTCAAGTGAGTACCTGGTGCGGTGTGTAAAACATCGCCACTGGGGAGACAAAGGAGGCCGGGCATGGTGCTGGCCAGCCACCCCTTCGTGTGCCGTGCCGGCCTTCATAGGTGCTCGCTAACAGCGCTTGCCCCTACAGTCTTTTCGGGCTATACGGTGGATCTTTGTTTGTTTGTGTGCTACTCACTAACAGCGCTTGCCTCAACAGTCTGTTAAAGACTATACGGGGGATCTTTGTGCTTGTGTGTGTGCGCGTGTATGCGCGTATGTTTGTGTGTGCGTGAATGGCCTTCAATTGGTGCTCGCTAACAGCACTTGCCCCTACAGTCTGTTAAGGCTACACGTGTGTGCGTGTGCGTGCGTCGCAGGAACGGACCGTCGCACCGGTGGCAAGGCGAGGCCCAAGAGCGAGGGGCTGGAGTTGTACCGCGGCGCGGCGCGTCCCGACAGCCCGGAAGAGCCGGCGGAGACCCACACCGACGCCCACCAGCAGCAGCAGCAGCAGGAGCAGCAGGGCGGCGCAGTCTCTCACGGCGACGACCGGCTCGTGAAGAACCGCGCAGACCACCGCTCTACCCCCAACGTCGCGCGTGAGTGAGCGTGCGTGGTCGCGCTGTGGTGCACGGGGAGATCGTGCGTCCACGCCGTCGCGGTCAGAGACCCCACCGTGTTTTTGCACCGTTGGTCTCGTGTTTGCCCGTCTGTCTGCGGCGGTGAGATCTTGCCACGGTGGTGGCGTGGATTTTTTTCTCCGGATCCCCCGGTTTTTTCCTCCACATTTAGAATCGACATCGCAGCGCGTTTGGAGTGCTTGGCGACTGCTCTACGTTTGATAAGCCACTTGGTTGAGCTGTCCTTTGTGATAGCCGGGTCACTTCTGAAATAAAAAAATATCTGTAGTTTAGTGTCGTCACTGACGAAGGGTTCCGTCTTCCTTAGAACTCGTCCGTCGCTTGTCCCCCCCCGCCCCCCGCAGACTCCCCCGACAGCGTGGGTCTCCGCCCCGTGTACCCGGGCGCTCCGGCCTCCAGGGTCCAGTCGGTGTCGACCGGCAACCTCAAGGCAGAGGTGACCACCTCGTCACACATCACATTGTCACACATCACATCGTCACATATCACCACATCACCCATCCACTCGCTCACCTACCCACCTACCCACCCATCCACTCACCCACCTACCCACCCATCCACTGACCCACTCACCCACCCATCCACTGACCCACTCACTCACCTACCCACCCATCCACTAACTCACCCACCCACCCACCTACCCACCCACCCACCTACCCACCCACCTACCCACCCATCCACTGACTCACCCACTCACCTACCCACCCATCCACTAACTCACCCACCCACCCACCTACCCACCCACCCACCTACCCACCCACCTACCCACCCATCCACTGACTCACCCACTCACCTACCCACCCATCCACTGACTCACCCACCCACCTACCCACCCATCCACTGACCCACTCACTCACCTACCCACTCGTCCACTTGATAAAATGACCCACTCACTCACCCATTCCCCCACCCATCCACCCACTCATGCACTCAGTCTAACACCCCTACCCCGGTCCCACGAGTTCTCACCTGGTTACAATAAACCGTGTCGAGATTTGACCTCGCGCCTACCTGCCATGTGTGCCGTTGTCTGTGTGCCTTGCGTGTGTGCCGTGCTTGCGTGTCGTGTGTGTGCCGTGCGTGCGTGCGTGTGTGCCTTGCGTGTGTGTCATGCGTGTTGTGTGTGTTGTGTGTGTCGTGCGTGCCGTGCCGTTGCGTGTCGTGCGTGTGTGCCTTGCGTGTGTGTCATGCGTGTTGTGTGTGTCGTGCGTGTCGTGCGTGCCGTGTGTGTGTGTCATGCGTGTCGTGCGTGTGTGTCATGCGTGTCGTGCGTGTGTGCCGTGTGCGCCGTGCAGGAGAGTCCCTCTCCGCCGTCGCTCGAGGCCTACCCGGTGCCCACAGCCACCTACGCACGCGAGTGCAGCACGCTGCCACCCCCGCCCGCAGACAGCTCCCCCGCTTGGGCGGCCTCCGGCATGCAGGTGAGACGCAACAGCAGCAGCAGCAGCAGTAGTAGTAGTAGCAGTAGTAGCAGCAGCAACAATAGCAGCAGCAGCAGCAGCAGCAGTAGCAGCAGCAGCAGTAGTAGCAGTAGTAGCAGCAGCAGTAGCAGCAGCAGTAGCAGCAGTAGTAGCAGCAGCAGTAGCAGCAGTAGTAGTAGCAGCAGCAGTAGTAGCAGCAGCAGTAGTAGCAGCAGTAGCAGCAGCAGCAGCAGCAGTAGTAGTAGCAGCAGTAGCAGCAGTAGTAGTAGTAGTAGCAGCAGCAGTAGCAGCAGTAGTAGTAGCAGTAACAGCAGCAGCAGCAGCAACATTAGCAGCAGCAACAGCAGCAGCAGTAACAGCAGCCGCAGCAGCAGCCGCAGCAGCAGCAGTAGCAGCAGCAGCAGCAGCAGCAACAGTAGCAGCAGCAGCAACAGCAGCAGTAACAGCAGCAGCAGCAGCAACAGCAGCAGTAGCAGCCGCAGCCGCAGGTGTGAGGATTATCTGAACCAGTCCTGGGCCTGCTCTAGGTCAACTCGGCCTCAAATGAGTACCTGGTGCGGGGTGTGTCAACATTGCCAGTGGTGTTAGCCTCTCGGCTCTAAATTGAAAATGTATTTCTTTAGAACTGCTTTTTGTGTTTAGTTTTGTTGTCCTTCCCCCGCGCACCTTCGATTACCACAGTTGACTATGTACGGTGCGAAAGAAGTTCAGCAAACATAAATACAGCAGCAACAACAGCAACAACAACAACAACAGCATACCAACACCGCCACGGTGACGTAACCACAGCTCGTGTGCCAGGCTAGGTTGGCACGGAGCTTGTTAGGCTGAGATCGCTGATCTCAGTCTGTTGGAGCAAGTGCTGTTAGCGAGTGGCACCTATGGCACACGAGGGGGTGGGTGGCCAGCACCACTGCTGGCTGCCTTTGTCTCCCCAGAGGCAATGTTTACTACACACCACACCGGGTACTCATTTGAGGCTGAGTCGACCTTGGAGAGGCCCAGGACTCTTTCAGATAATTGTCACTGGTGTTGGCCGTGAGCGGGAACCACCATCACCACAACCACCAGCAGCACCGCTAATGCCACCTGCCATCATTACCATAACCACCACCAATACCACCAACACCCGCCATTCGCCACTAAGTGACAGTGACGTCACCACGGCACCTGTGCCAGGCCATGTGCACTTTGAGGCCACGTGAAGTGTCGAAGGCTCGTTGGCAGGAGGTCTCGGGACAGACCCAGGTGCTGTGGGTTGGCTAACGTGCCAACTTGCTGCAGTGTAGCCGGCCGGCGCTCCCCTCGTTGTTGTGAGCGTCACCCCTCTGCCCTCCGTCGTTGCTGAAAGACGACTGCATCTGACTGCCCAGTAAGCAGCGTCCTTCACGAGCCTCCTCTACAGAGGCCGATCTTGACACCGCTGGTACCAATCTCCGGCAAGTCCACTCAACCCATTTCGTGCCTGTTTAGCTCCCCAGCCAGACAGAATCTGCTTGGGCATGCGGTGGCTGGGCATGCGGGCTACATGACCCAGCCAGGGCCGCCTTGCCTGCCGGAGGAGCCCACTGATGGGAATGTGTCCAGATCAAGGATTTGTGAGCTCCTCACACAATCCAGCCTGGTTAAACCCAGGGTGGTTCGTAGGCATGCCAGCCTGAATGTTTCTAACCAGCGCAGATATTCCATTAGAGGGGGTCCACGTTTCACAAGCATAGAGTCGGGAGGGCATGGTTGTGGCCAAGAACACCCAAAGCTTTGTGCGGAGCGACAGACCCAGGTAGCTTCCACACAGCAACTGCTCCATCAGCAATGGAGGAGCAGAGGGTGTGGAGTGTTTGGTAGCACAATACCCAGGCAGGTGCTGGGTATTTTGTGGCACGCTCCAGGTTCAGCAGCAGCACCTCCAACAACAACCACCACCACCATCATCACCACAACGACCACCATCATCATCATCACCACCCCAACCACCACACGCGTCCACCGTAACCTCTCCTCCTCCCGCCCTCCGTCGCGCAGAGAGCGGCGCACTCCGAGGAGGAGCTGCGGCGAGACCGCCCCTACCGTGCGGCGGGGCCGCCGCCGCCACCGCCACACCACCACCACGGGCAGCAGCAAGCGCAGCGCCAGCAGCCGCCCTCCTCGCTCCTATCCTCCTCCAGCCACGAGCAGTCGGCGCTGTCGGCTCGCGCGCCGCAGTACGGCATCGCCGTGGGCGGCGCCGCCTCCGCCAAGACGGGGCCGGGCCGCTGGAAGACGCCCGTCGTCAGCGGTGGCGGCGGCGGCGGCGGTGGCCAGCAAGGAGGCGGCCTCCCTCCGCCGCCCCCTCCGACGCGGTACCCGCCGGGGTACGGCCCCGAGTCGCGGGACCTCCCGCCGCCACCGCCGCCTCCGCCGCCGGCGTCCGCCCTGCACGGCATGGGCGGGATGAGCGGCGGGGGCACGTCCTCGTCGCTGTCGTCGCTTTCGTCGCCGTCGCTGCCGTCGCCCGGCTATGGCGGCGACGCGGGGCCCGAGGCGGAGCGCAAGCGCGAGGAGCAGCTGCGCTGGTACGAGGCGGAGAAGGCGCGGCTGGAGGAGGAGCGCGAGCGACAGCGGCGCAGGAAAGCGGCGGGGGCCGCTGCTCCCGGCGGCGGTGGCGGTGGTGGCGCGGGCGCGGGGTCGGTGGTGAGACCGCACGAAAGGCCGGCGGTGCCGTCGCAAGGAGACACGATCATCAGGTGATACCTCGCCCCCCCCACCGCCTCCTCCACCTCGGGGCGACTGCGGCGCTCGGCATCTTGGGGCTTTTTTCGATGTTTTTTGCACGGAACGATGCCCCTAGCGCCACGCTCGATGCTGCCCCCCCCATCCTGCCGGCTCTATCAACGTTGCTGCTAGTGCCGCTGTCCATGCTGTTAGTGCAACTACCAATGGCGCCAGTGCTCCACGCCGCTGGTTCTATCAACGTTGCTGCCTGGCGCCACGCTCGGTCAATTGCCGACTCGCCCCCCCCCCCCCGTCCCCCTCCCCCTCCTTCAGGGAGCTGCGCCCCCAGTCGCAGCCGCGCACCATCGAGCGCCACGACCTGCACTTCCTGGTGCCCCCCCCCGCGGGCACCGGCGAGGAGGAGAGCGCCAGCGGCTCCCCGCAGCTGTCGCCGTCGCCGTGGGCGCGCGACGCCCGCGAGCGCCAGGAGAAGCAGCGGCAGCAGCAGCAGCTGGAGATGCTGGAGCGGGAGATCGCGGCGCTGCAGTCGCGGCCGCAGCACCAGCTGCTGCCCGAGGAGAGCGACCGGCTGCGCAAGCTGCTGCTGGAGCGCGAGTTTCAGCGGCGCGTGCAGGAGGTGTCGCTGCGCCGGCGGGGCGGCGACGACGACGATGACGACGACGACGACTACGAAGAGAGGGACGACGACGAGGGAGGTGGAGGCACTAGGATCGGGGCGCAGGCCGCAGGGCAGAAGCAGTCGGTGCAGGTGAACGTCGCTCGCGCGCGCACGGACGTGGAGACACCAGCGTCTTTACGGACCCACGCACGGAAACTGTGATGCTATTTAAGCGAATTAACTATTTTCAGAATAGTTTTTTTACCCTTCTATCTGGCAACAAAACTGGCACCTTATTTTACAAGGAGTCATGTTTGCATAGACCACAATACCTGCGGTCATAATGCAAACAAAAACATAACTCTGATAATGTATGCACTGTCCTTGAAGTTGACTATTTTCATTTTGGCCCCATTGAGCTATGTAGCTCACAACCAAAGTGGGCTTATCGTCGCGTGAAAATGTATTGCAGCCAAACACTCTAAACCCGTGATGTCGATTCTAAATGGGGAGGGGAAAACCGGAGGACCGGGAGAAAAATCCACGCAACCACGGGGAGAGAGAGATACAGGCGAACTCCAAATATACAGCAGGCATCGGGGTCGGAAAGATCCCCTGACCTGCATACCAGGCGAGGGAGTTAACATCTCCTAGCTACCATGGTGCCTCTTAAATAATTAAAAGTGTAACAAAAAAAATGTTTTGTTCCTGGGTAGTAAGTGTTAATTCCTGATTACTTATGCCTCAAAAGTACAGAATTGGCTATTATAACTCACAAACTTTGCTTTTGTGACCAGGACAGTTATGTTTAGAAATGTACTTATTTTCAATGAGATAACGCGGTGTGCATTTGTGTCATTCCTTCGCATAAAGTCCTGGTCACAAAAGCAAAGTTTGTGGGGAATAATAGCCATTTTCTCTAAGAAAAGCTGTCTCGGGTGTGGACCAATCAACTTCAAAGACAGTGCATATCATTATCATCATCAGAGTTGTTTCTTTTTGTTTGCATTTTGACAGCTTGTGTTGTGGTTATTGCAAACATGATGCCTTGTATAACGGTGTCAGTTTTTGTACCAGTTGAAAGGGTAAAAACCTATCACTATATTTTCTATTCTTTTTAGGCATAAGCAATTAAAACATAACACTTACTACCCCGGGACAAGAATCGTGTTCCATAGTGTAATGAGAGCGAGAGGAGACGCCTGTCGTAGTATGAGCGAGGAGGTTTGCGTGGCAGCGCTTGATCGCTCGCCAACGTTACGAACGAGCGTTTTTTTAAATCCTTTATATTAAGTTCACTTGCTTGCGCGCTTACGACCGTGCAAATCTTTCGGTCGTTTTTTAACCCACTTCCCGTGATCCAATCGAGCTGACATTTTGCACACAGACTCGTTGTGCATGACAATTTATTTTCGTGAAAATTATTTTTCCAAAATTTTACACCTTTCAGGAAAATTTTTTTAATATTTAATTACCAATTGCTTAATGGTGGCAGACAATCATCTGACCCATAGGTGGCAGCCATCTCAAGCCAGAGGACGAGAGGACTCTAGCCGCCAGTTTCAAAGACCAATGTGGGCTGGGTTGTGGCCCATTGAACACGCATATAAAGGATTTATAGTGAAAAACTTAGTTTTTACGGGTTAATTTTTTTAAAATTATTTTCTTCGCCCGGGGTGTTAACGCCATTGGGCCCGGCCGTCTCTCGCGCGAACGCAGGAAAAGCCTCTGCCGTGGCAACACCAGCAGACGGGAGACTTCCACCAGCAGCAGCAGCAAAGGCATGAGGAGGAGACGCACGTGTTGCAGGTAGATCCCTTGCCCTGTCTCTCTCTCTCTCCGCTCTCCCCATTCAGCAATCTCGCTCGGGTGGCGTGCCTCGTCGGAAAATGTGGAAATAGTTTGGGAGCGAGGGGGGCGGGGATGGGGAAGTCTCACCCCACGTGTGCCGCTGGACGGGAGGTGGTGTTGCGTGGCACGGTGGCGCGTCTCCGGCACCGCCGGCCACCTCGTCACCCTGGTGGGCGTGGCTTGTAGGGGGTTTCCTGCCTTCGGTGGGGAGGCAGGATGTGGGAGGACTGCCTGCGATGACCCAGGTGCTTCTGCGTGGTTCTTTCGGTAAAGTCACGTAGAAGGGAAATAATAAAATAATAAAAATAAAACTATAAAATAATTCTCACGACGTTTCGGCCACAACGCAAGCAGCCGTCCTCAGGTGAAGAACAGGTCTGTCGGAAAGACAGCGTCTGAATGGGCACTACCAAGCTTGCCAGTGTTTATTTAAGCTGGGTTGGAGGGGGAAGAGCGCCTTGACAACGGAATTTGCTTTCCGACAGACCTGTTCTTCACCTGAGGACGGCTGCTTGCGTTGTGGCCGAAACGTCGTGAGAATTATTTTATTATGTTTAATTTTTATTATTTTATTATTTCCCTTCTACGTGACTTTACCGAAAGAACCAAGAAGATGAATCCCTGCAGTCACGAAAGCTTTACATCGAGACCCAGGTGCTGTGTTTGTAGGCTTGGGGTTTGAGAGGCTCGTCCTGGTGATGGCAGCGCTGAGTCTCTCCACCCCCCCCCTCCGTGTCGGAGTCAGAATCTTTTTTATCCTGGAGATTAGCTGTGGTGCTCTTTTTACACAGATGTGCAGTGGCGGCGGTCAGGAACGTAAATGGCACTTTGCTCTGTGCTCCGCGGTGGCTCGGAGATGTTAACTACCTCGCCTGGTATGCAGGAGGTCGTGAGTTCCATCCCGACCCTGACGCCTGCTGCTGTATATTTGGAGTTTGCGTGTCTCTCTCTCTCATCATCACGGTGGCTAGGAGATGTTAACTACCTCGCCTGGTATACAGGAGGTCGTGGGTTCCATCCCGACCCTGACGCCTGCTGTATAATTATAAGCTGCGTGTGTCTCTCCCCATGGCTCGGTTTCCTCCGGGTTCTTCCGGTTTCCTTCCCCTCCTGCTCTTCCTCCACACACACGGAGGGCCAAAATCTCATGGCATTCATAGCTCAACATCCCGATGTAAAGTCGCAGCACCCTCTTGATCAAGTGTCATGAGACTCGGTAAAGCTTTCGTTTGGTAAACAATCGCAAAAAACAAATTATATAATAATGAGGGTAGCATTCACGCCTCCTTGACAATGGATAATAATAGTAATGACAGCAATTATTTGACAGCCCTGTCGTCAGCCCGCTGCTGGATTGGAGGCCTCCCACGCCTTGTCAGTCGTCAGGATTGTGTGACCATACTTCACTATGCCTGTCGGTGCGTGTCGGTGACCTCCTGTATACCAGGCGAGGTAGTTAACATCTCCTAGCCACCGTGATGATGATGATGATGATGAGAGAGAGAGAGACACACAAACTCCAAATATACAGCAGCAGGCATTGTCAGGGTCGGGATCGAACCCACGACCTCCTGTATACCAGGCGAGGTAGTTAACGTCTCCTAGCCACCCCGTAGCCCTCGGAACGGGAAAGGAAAGTGAATCGCCTTCCAAACCTGGACGCAGGTCGTAATGGCAAAGCTCTTGCTTCTTTTCCACTGGCACATCTGAGCCGTGCCGGGGCCGTACCAAGCCAGGGGCCGCCGCGGGTCAGGACGGGCCCCAGGCTGCTTGTCTTTCCACCCCTCCCCACCCCACTGGTCAGGTGACGCCGCCTCCTCACGGCGTCATCGGCCCCCGAAACCCCTGGCCCTTGCTTGGCCCCCCGGGCCAGATTCAGCCGCCCCCTTTGTACGTACGTGTACGTTGAACTTCTTTCGCGCCAGAGGTCGCAACCGGGTACCCGATACCCGTACCCTACTCGATACCCGGCTACCCGTACCCGGGTACGGGTAGACCGTGTTTCACTGGTGAGTAACTGTTTGTCACTCATTTCCCAACGTCTTGTCTCTTCTCACAATTCAAGTTCCTAGAATCAACCCCCACCCGTGTCTGCAACATGGCTTCATCCCAGAGGTCGCAATCAGGTACCCGATACCCGTACCCTACCTGTACCCAGCCGGGTACGGGTAGGGTACGGGTACGGCCAGGTACGGGTACCCGTTTGCGACCCTGGTGCGGTCCGGTATGGGTACGGGTAAGGAATCCAAACCCGTTTGCGACCTCTGTTTCGCGCCGCACGTCGCCAACCGCGCTAAGCGGCGGTGCGCGGGAGAGACAACAAACTAAACGCATGAGGCAGTTCTAAAGAAAACGAGTTTTCGATCCTCGATTTGAAAGTGGCATAGCTCCTGGGGCCTTCATGTGAGTCCATCAGCCTTGCGCCGCTTGCTTCTGGCTTGGCTCAGCAAACAGGCAGTGGAAAAACCACCCGTACCGTGCTGGCTCGGCTCGGTTGTGCCGGTGGAATCGGGGGGGGGGGGGCGCGGTTGGGGGGGGGGGGGGGTGGGGTATTGTAGTCCATCGGCGCGAGCGTGGATCAGCCGTCGTGTTACTGTCGCATTGTCGTTGTTTCGATTTAAAGCTTTCGTGACTGCAGGGATTCATCTTCTTGGTTCTTTCGGTAAAGTCACGTAGAAGGAAAATAATAAGATGATAAAAATTAAACACGATAAAATAATTCTCACGACGTTTCGGCCACAACGCAAGCAGCCGTCACCTGAAGACGGATGCTTGCGTTGTGGCCGAAACGTCGTGAGAATTAATTTATTATATTTTCTTTTTATTATTTTATTATTTTCCTTCTACGTGACTATACCGAAAGAACCAAGAAGATTGTTGTTGTTGTCGTTGTTGTCGTTGTTGTCGTTGTGTTCGCTGTGTTCGTTGTGTTGTCGTTGCATTGTTGTTGCCACCGTCGCGTTGTCGTTGTGTCTCCTCCACCTAACCGAGCGCTTTGACCGTCGGGGTCTGTTTCTCTTTCCTGGCCGGGAGCATCCTTGACCCCTCCCCCTGCGCAGGCCTTCCCGACTCTCTCGGTCTTGCACTTGGTATGTGTGACGACGCCGCCGCCGCTCTCCCACCCCTCTCTCCGTCTTTGTCTCTCCGCATGCCTCTCCCAGCCTCCCCCCTGCTCTTTCTTCGTTTCCCAGCCACCGTCACCAACGCGGCCACCATCCCCATCCCCCATCGGCCTCCTCCACGATGTTCCCCCATCGTCGCGGCCCTGGTCGTTTTGCTCTTTATTTGTTTGCCTCTCCGACGCTCCTCTCACACTCGCGAGGGCGGCGGCAGCAGCATCGGCAGGAGCGTGGGACGACGTCGCGATCCTTTAAATTCGCTCCGGCCGCCTGCGACGTTGGCAATGTTCCACTACGGCCTCTTAGACCGGGGAGATCTCGTCTTGAGGAGGTCCAGTGACACCCTCGGCTGCAGAAGTTGTAGGAATGCAACCTCCAGGAGTTCTGGTGGGTCACCTCATCTCCTGGAGGTCTGGAGGAGACCTGTCGACGTGCAGCTGGTCTCGCCACGTTTGCGAGATGTTAACTACCTCGCCTAGTATACAGGAGGTCGTGGGTTCGATTCTGACGCCTGTACAATTGGAGTTTGCGTTTTTCTCTCACCGTGGTTGGGCGATGGAAGTTCCCCACAATTCTCGACTTTGGTTCCATCCCGTCGCCAATCGACTCGCTTCCACCTGACAGAAGCAGCAATCAGGAGCAGCAGCCGCCACCTTTTGGACTCGACTACCATGTGAAGGATGGTCCCAGCACAGATCAGGGCACCCATTCCACCAATCTCCCCGGGTGGTGGTGGTGGTGGTGACGATGTTTATGATGAATTGGCCCTGCCGAGGATGTAATCCTCAGGCCCTCAAACTCAGTAACGATTTCTGTTGGGGTTTATATATTTACTTCAAACGTGCATCAGCCTTTCAATCTGAATTGGGCCCGTTGTCGTCGTTGTCACATTAATTGGAGGAAAAACTTGGGTCGGTTTAAAAAAACAATTTGGTACTTAACAAATATTTTTGTAAAGATCTGAATTGGGCCCATTGTTATCCCTGGCGCAATAAATTTATTCTTAGGTTTTTTTCGGTAAAGTCACGTAGGTAAAAAATTTAAATTAATAAAAGTAAAATAAAACAAAATAAAAAAATCACGGCGTTTCGGAAGCAACACAAGCCTCCGTCTTCCAGTGGAACCGTCACAGCCACGACAGCTGTATCAAGTAAATGAGAGACCACAAGAAATACTACCCCGTATATATAATGGTTGAGGGGGGAAGGGCCAGGAACGGCACACTTTTTATTCATATTTTGTTTTATTTTACTTTTATTAATTTAAATTTTTTACCTACGTGTCTTTACCGAAAAAACCTAAGAATATGAATCCTTGCAGTCACGAAAGCTTCAAATCTAGAAGCAATAAATGTAGTTTGCAAATTTGGCCACCAGATGGCAGCGGCGGCGGCGGACACAATCACACGTGTCGCTCCACAACAGATAAGCGGGCGGGGGGGGTGGTCAATGAAGAGAAGTATAACGAATAGCCGTGGGGGAGATGCACACGCTGCCCGGTGCGTGTCGGGGTGAGACGGACGCTTGTTGCCTTAGTCCCGGGAGAAGCCGCTTTGCGTGTGCGTGCGTGCGTGTGTGTGCGTGTGCGTGCGTGTTTGTGCGTGTGTGTGCATGCGTGTGCGTGCGTGTGTGTGTGTGTGTGCGTGTGTGTGTGTATGCACTCGTGGTTGTCTGTGCGCACACGTGTGTGTGTGTGTGTATGCCCTCTTGCATGTGAGTATACTCTCCTGCATGTCTGTGTGTATGTCTCCTTGTGCGTGTGTGTATGTGTCCTCGTGCGTGTCAGTGCCTGCATGTGCTTATGTGTGTATGCCCTTGTGTGTGTGTGTATGCCCCCGTGCTTGTGAGTATACCCTCCAGGATGTGTGTATGCCCTCATGTCTGTGTGTGCCCTTGTGCGTGCGCGTGTGTGCCCTTGTGCGTGCGTGTGTTGTGCCCTTGTTTGTGCGTGCGCGTGTGTATGCCGTGAGTGTGTGACCTCGTGCGTTTGTGTGTGTATGCCCTCCTGTGTGTGTGTATGCCCTCCTGTGTGTGTGTGTATGCCCTCCTGTGTGTGTGTGTATGCCCTCCTGAGTGTGTGTGTGTGTATGTGTGTATGCCCTCCTGCGTGTGTGTGCTTGTGTGTATGCCCTCCTGTGTGTGTGTGTGTGTATGCCCTCCTGTGTGTGTGTGTGCCCTCCTGTGTGCGTGTGTGTGTGCCCTCCTGTGTGTGTGTGTATGCCCTCCTGTGTGCGTGTGTGTGTGCCCTCCTGCGTGTGTGTGTGTGTGTGCCCTCCTGTGTGTGTGTGTGTGTGCCCTTCTGTGTGCGTGTGTGTGTGCCCTCCTGTGTGTGTGTGTGTATGCCCTCCTGTGTGCGTGTGTGTGTGCCCTCCTGCGTGTGTGTGTGTGCCCTCCTGCGTGTGTGTGTGTGCCCTCCTGTGTGTGTGCGTGTGTGTGTGCCCTCCTGTGTGCGTGTGTGTGTGCCCTCCTGTGTGTGTGTGTGTATGCCCTCCTGTGTGTGTGCGCGTATGCCCTCCTGCGTGCGTGTGTGCGTGTATGCCCTCGTGCGTGCGTGCGTGCGTGCGTGTGTATGCCCTCCTGTGTGTGTGTATGCCCTCCTGTGTGTGTGTATGCCCTCCTGTGTGTGTGTGTATGCCCTCCTGTGTGCGTGTGCATGTGTGTGTATGCCCTCCTGCGTATGTGTGTGTGTGCGTGTGTGTGTGTATGCCCTCCCGCGTGTGTGTGTGTGTGCGTGTGTGTGTGTATGCCCTCCCGCGTGTGTGCGTGCTTCGTATTTATTTGCTGTGCGGTTCACCTTTGTCCGGTGCCGTTGCACCGGCTCGGGCTGTTGTGCCTTCTGTTCCGCCCGTGTGCCGCCTGTCGCTGGCGGAGCCACCGTGAGCCATGCCGCCGCCACCGCTCTCCCGCCTCCTCTCGCTCTCTCGTTTTGCCGTTTGGTTTTGTTTTGTTTGCCGTTTGCTTTCACCGGTTTGCTCTTCGAATCCATCGGCGAGGTTTTAATTTGTGAATGCGGCATCCTTTATACCCCCCCTTCCCCCACACCGCCCCCCCCCGCGCCATCTTCCATCCGTGCACCCGATTGGTGCGACGACTCCACCACCACTACGCACCATCGCGCACACACACAAACGTTTCGCTCTTGAGCCGGTGGTCCGGACAATGCTGTGAGGAGAGCCCTTTAGCGCTTCTGCGGCCGTCTGGAACGCTCTTCCGATGTTAAGGAAGCCACTGGGAGCTATGTATTTTGGTATCGTCACCTTGATTGGAAACTCGTGTTTTAGTTTTGTTGTCCTTCCCACCCACCCCCCAACTGCCTGCACACCTCCGATTAGCGCGGGTTGGCTACGTACGGTTAGAAATAATTTCAACGTACGTGCAGAGCGTTGCGTACGCGATCGCGTGGCGCGCAAGGCACGGTGGGGCGGAGTCGGACGGAAATCGAAACCGGCAAAGTCCCCCCAACAGCGACGCAGCTTTGCGCTGAAATTTCATTCATGTTTAGATCTTTGTTTGTTTTGTTACCGCGCGAGAGTGCAGAGTCTTTAGCCGGAGAATCGTAATGTTCATCTCGCCCGGGGGGAATCCAATGAGCCGTGAGGGTCGGGTTTTGCCACAGATGTCCAGTACGGGCACGGGGGGCGGGCGGGGGTCACGCACAACACACAAACACGATAGGAGTTCAAAGTATAGGAAAGGTAAGCATATTACTAAAAATAAATCTACTCGTGTGGATGGTACGGCTGCCTGCGTGCGTGTATGCGTGTGAACGTGTGTGCGCGTGGACGTATGTGTGCGTTTACGTACGCGCGTGCGTGTGCGTGCGTGCGCGTGTATTACGCGTTGAAAAGCCGCTGATCTCTCCCGCCCCTCGCGCTCCCCGCCTGCGCGTTAGCTCCAGGACGAGGAGCGCCGGAAGCATCAGCAGCAGGCGGAGGAGCGTGCGCGGCAGCAGAGGGAAGCGGATGAGCGGGCAAGGCAGCAGCGAGAAGCGGAGGAGCGAGCGAGGCAGCAGCGAGAAGCGGAGGAGCGAGCGAGGCAGCAGCGAGACGCGGAGGAGCGAGCGAGGCAGCAGCGAGAAGCGGAGGAGCGGGCGAGGCAGCAGCGAGACGCGGAGGAGCGGGCGAGGCAGCAGCGAGAAGCGGAGGAGCGAGCGAGGCAGCAGCGAGAAGCCGAGGAGCGAGCTCGACAGAGGGAAGCAGACGAACGGGCGAAGCAGCAGCGGGAAGCAGAGGAGCGGACGCGGCAGCAGCGGGAAGCGGAGGAGCGGACGCGGCAGCAGCGAGAAGCGGAGGAGCGGACGCGCAAGGTGGAGGAGCAGGTGAGAGGCTGGAGGTCTCCTGCCGGGTGAACCCGGCGTGGTACGGGCCAGCCGCCTAAATTTAAATGTGTCGTTAAACCCGCCAACACCCGACAACGGCCAATTAGCGAGGTTTGTCACGTGCACACAACATGCCCATTTAGCATAGTCTTAGGTTTTTTCGGTAAAGTCACGTAGGTAAAAAAATGTAATGAATAAAAGTAAAATAAAAATCACGACGTTTTGGAGGCAACACAAGCTTCCGTCTTCAGATGGAACCGTCACAGCATGATTGCTGTATCACTTGATACAGCTATCGTGCTGTGACGGTTCCACCTGAAGACAGTCACCCACCCACTCACATAGTCACTCACCCACGCACACAGTCACTCACCCACTCACACAGTCACTCACCCACTCACATAGTCACTCACCCACTCACACAGTCACTCACCCACTCACACAGTCACTCAGCCACTCACACAGTCTCTCACCCACTCACATAGTCACTCACCCACTCACACAGTCACTCACCCACTCACACAGTCACTCACCCACTCACACAGTCACTCAGCCACTCACACAGTCACTCACCCACTCACATAGTCACTCACCCACTCACACAGTCACTCACCCACTCACACAGTCACTCACCCACTCACACAGTCACTCACCCACTCACACAGTCACTCACCCACTCACACAGTCACTCACCCACTCACACAGTCACTCACCCACTCACACAGTCACTCACCCACTCACACACTCACCCACTCACACAGTCACTCACCCACTCACACAGTCACTCACCCACTCACACAGTCACTCACCCACTCACACAGTCACTCACCCACTCACACAGTCACTCACCCACTCACACAGTCACTCACCCACTCACAGTCACTCACCCACTCACATAGTCACTCACCCACTCACACAGTCACTCACCCACTCACACAGTCACTCACCCACTCACACAGTCACTCACCCACTCACACAGTCACTCACCCACTCACACAGTCACTCACCCACTCACACAGTCACTCACCCACTCACACAGTCACTCACACAGTTACTCACCCACTCACAGAAGTTCACCATGCATACAGCAACGATACTGTTGAAAGCCGGCGAGGATAAATATACGGGTGACAACATTGTGTCTGCATCGTGAAAAAAATATTTCCACATCCTATTGGCCACGCGGCCTTCTGGGAAGGTGTGCCTAGCTTCAGTGGGCTCGATGCCGGCGCTGTGTGTTGTTGGCACCGAAACTAGGATCCGTCTCCGATACAAAAATCACGTGCGGCTGCTCACCAACATTGGCTGAAGCAAAGCCGCCAGAGCGAACGTTGAAACCGGCGGTCCAGAGTTTGACGATGAAATGACGCAAAGTAAAAATGCAGGTGGGCACGTAGGGTCCGTGTATTTTACCCTCAATGCTCACCACCAATCATTATCATGAGCACGTCGCCAGCATGGCGGAGCTCTCATTAACGCTGGCCTCGCCCTCGTTGATCGTCAGCGGGATCGTCGGTGTAGCGCGTGCGCCTGACCCGCTAACGCCAGCCTCGTGCCCTCGTTCATCAGAAGGATAGTGCCAGTTTCTCCAGAATTGTCGCTCGTCAGCGTAACGCACTCTCCTCGCCAACGGCCTCGCGCCCTTCCCGGCCGTCGTCGGAAGCACAACGCCAGTTTCGCCGCTATCGGCCCGTTGGCACGGCACTAGTCCCTGACGCGGTCGCGTCTCTCCCTCCGCCGGTGGCGGCGGCGACATTCACCACCAGCGGCGCCGCGACGACGACTACTACGCTCACATGGAGTCGGAGCGGCGGCGCGCGCTGGACGAGGAGGAGCGCCGCCTGCTGGGTCCCGGCAACAACAACGGCGGCGGCGGCGACGACGGGACATCCACGGCGGCCTACGCCGCCACCACCGCCGCCGCGTCTCCGCCGGCGCCGTCCCAGCAGAGTAAGCCTCGCGGCGGAGGCGGAACGGGCATCGGCGGCGGCATCGGCGGAGGCATCGGCGGCATCGGCGGAGGCGGCGACGTCGTGCACAGAGCCATGCTGGTGCGGTGCGGTGACGGCGAGGAGGAGGAGGACTCTGCAAAGACGAGAGACGCTCGCACTAACCCCGCGGCGGCGGCGGCGGCCGCCCCCCTGCGCTGGCAGCAGCAGCAGCCGGGCGGCGGCGGCGGCGCCGTGACGACGCGCCGACCGCCGCTCGCCCGGCCGCCGCGCCCCGTGTCGGACGGCTTTGCGCTCTCGTCGGCCGCGGGGGGGGCGGCCGGCCTGGGCAGGCAGGCGCCGTCGGTGGCGGCTTCCAGCAGCATGGCCGACCTGGCGCGCGTCGGCCGCGGCGCTGTCGGCGCCGCGGCGGCCCAGCAGCTCCGCGGCACGCCGGCCTCGCTGCTGCTCACCTATGCTTCGCCTGGAAACTCGCAAGGTGAAAGGCCGCACCTTGGCTGTGCGCGTGGCTCTCTGTGCGAGCGAGCGAGTGGCTTGAATGAGAGCGTGCGTGCGTGCGTGCATGGCCCCTGGGGGTTGTTGTCTGTCAACGGCAGTTGTTGTTGCTGTCTGTTCGTGGGTTGTGACTTGGCTTGTTTTTGCGAGTATGGCTTGTCAGAGTGTGAGTCGGTGTGCGCGTGTGTGTGTGAGTCAGTGTGCGCGTGTGTGTGTGATTCGGTGTGTGTGTGAGTTGGTGTGTGTGTGTGTGAGTTGGTGTGTGTGTGTGTGTGAGTCGGTGTGCGCGTGTGTGTGTGAGTTGGTGTGTGTGTGTGTGCGAGTCGGTGTGCGCGTGTGTGTGGGTGAGTCGGTGTACGCGTGTGTGTGATTCGGTGTGTGTGTGAGTTGGTGTGTGTGTGTGTGTGAGTCGGTGTGCGCGTGTGTGTGGGTGAGTCGGTGTGCGCGTGTGTGTGTGAGTTGGTGTACGCGTGTGTGTGTGAGTCAGTGTGCGCGTGTGTGTGTGAGTCGGTGTGCGCGTGTGTGTGGGTGGTGTAGCGGTTTAGTTCACTAGCTCGCTGCGCTACGAACCCGGCAACCCGAGTTCAATTCGTCCTGCTCACTGCCAGCACAAGTGACGATTATTTGAACTGGTCCTGGACCTTCGCTAGGTCGACTCAGCCTCAAATGAGTACCTGGTGCGGTGTATAAACATCACCATTAGGGAGACAAAGGCGGCTGGGCTTGGTGCTGGCCACCCACCCCCTTGTGTGCCGTGCCGGCCTTCATAGGTGCTCGTTAACAGCACTTGCCCCAACAGTCTTTTAAGGCTACACGGGGGCTCTTATTCTTTGTGTGTGTGTGTGAGCAGTGAGGCACTGTGTGTGAGTGTCTTGTGTGTGCTAGTGGCTTGTACGTGTGTCTGTGTGCGAGCCTGTCTGTACGTGTGACTCTAGTCTGTGTGTCCGTGTCTGTACCCCGCTTCTGTGTGTGTGTGTGTTCTATGCAAGGACACGCCTTGCTTGTCTGTGATTGTGTGTCTGTCTGTCTGTCTCGCTTGCTTGTGGCTTGCTTGCGGCTTGCTTGTGGCTTGCTTGCGGCTTGCTTGTGGCTTGCTTGATGGATTAAATTGCTTTGTCGGATCATCTGCAACCCCCCGTGTCTGCGACCGATTAACTCATCAGCTTTCCTCAACTCATCTGCTTCCACTCTCCCGTCGCGAGGCAGCTGGGTGTCTCCGCCGTTGTTCGCAACTTTCCCGTGTCTGTACCGCACCCCCGTTATTTCGCGGATGCAGTCGGAATGCAGGTGTTGTGGTCAATGCAAACATGACTCCTTGTAAAAAAAAGGTGTCGATTCCAATGGTGTAAATACCCACAAATTGGTTAATTGGGTTAAGCCACATCACAGCATCTTGCCCCCTTCTCTGAAATGAAGTTCTGCATGCTGAGAGAGGATGCCTCGCGCGATAAAAGACAAAGATCCAAATGTTCTAAATTGTTATTCTTACCGATGAAAGCACCCAGCCGCCTCGTGCATGCGAGCTGTGACCGCCTGCCATCACAAACGTCGCGATCCCCCCCCCCTCTACCCCCGTCCCTCGGGGGCGTTTCCCTGAAGCCGGAGTCTACGCCTCTTCGCAATCGGTTGCGCAACCCGTGGATTCGTACGCAACTCAACGTCTCGGCAATCGAGTCGGGAGCGGCGGTTGCCACGACCCGTTAACTCTAGATTTGAAGCTTTCGTGACTGCAAGGATTCATGATCTCAGTTCTTTCGGTAAAGTCACGTAGATAAATAAAACACAATAATAATAATTTATTTATTCTTTTTAATTTCATTTTTTACCTGAGTGACTTTACCGAAAGAACTAAGATTATGACCCGTTAACTTGCAGCGGAGACGCTCGTTCGCGCGGCAGATTTGCGCGACTCGGATTTGGCCGTTGTGATGCTAAACTCCTTGTCGCTCAGCTGCTCGCCCAGACGTCGACAAGTGTGTCGCTGGGTGGCACATTTTTTAAATTAGCGCGACGATTTCCAGAGCAGATTTTGGTCGCGCGACCGACCAGGGGCTCGTGAGTTGACCCGGCTTTCCAGACTCGCATCCCTCCCTCGCTCGCTCGCTCCCTCCCTCCCTCCCTCCCTCGCTCCCTCGCTCGCTCCCTCCCTCCCTGCCTCGCTCCCTCGCTCGCTCCCTCCCTGCCTCCCTCCCTGCCAATCCGTCGTCGCCTCTTCCCCAATCCGACGTGACGACCTGGTCAACCGACGTTGGTTCGAGCCAGCAAGATCATCGACGTGGACGATTCGCTTACTTTATTTACGTGTCCGTGTTTGATTTACTTTTTATTTGTATCTGCCCTTGATTTCGTTGCGCCGTGTGTGTGTGTGTATGAACGTGTGCGCGCTCGCTGCGACTGTTCTAGATTGTCACTAAGCCAATCCTAATAAGTCGTGCACCGACGGGTCCCCGGATAATTAGCCCGATGTCGGATGTTTACCGGCCGGCCTGCGTGTGGCGTTGACTAAACGCGGGAATAACTCCACGCAGCGAAAGGGGTCGCTCAGATTTATTCCCCCAATTGAGCTTTGATTCCATGGCTCGCCACCGCCCATGCCCATAGCGGGACATCTGTGCAAAAAAGAGCTTCGTGGCTCATCGGATTTCTCCTGCAGTCAAAACAAAGATTCTGATTCATCGGGGCACAGCTCCTGTGCACGTCCCAGCACGGAGCCGCCGGTGGTGTTTGAACATTCCACATTTCGCTACGTCGGGGCGGAGGGCGGGGTGGGTGGGTTGCGGGGGGCTGGTCTCTCCAAGGAAGCCGGTTAAATTTTTACTCTGACCCCCCCCACCCCCCCGGAGGGACGATGGGGGGCCGGGTTGTCGGCCAGGATTTGATCTCGCCACCGCGGCGGGTGAAGTTGCGAAAGTCCGTTGATTGCAACGGCGGTGAAATGGTAGCGTAGCGGTCAGCGCGCTGCGCTGCGAACCCGCCGACCCCCGAGTTCGATTCCCGCTCACGGCCACCACCAACACCGGTGACGATTATCTGAACCGGTCCGGGGCCTCCCCCTAGGTCGACTCGGCCTCAAATGAGTACCTGGTGCGGTGTGTAAACATCGCCACCGGGGAGACAAAGGAGCTCAGGCGTGGTGCTGGCCACCCACCCCCTCGTGTGCCGTGCCGGCCTTGGTCAGTGCTACTCGCTAACAGCACTTGTCTGTTGAGGCTATACGGGGGGTGTTTGTCTTCCTGAAATGTGCAAATGCGTAGGTGCTGCGGAGAGGGATTCTAGTTGTTCTGGGACTCATCGGTGCAACCTCCCTCCCCTCCCCCCCCACCGTGCGTGCGGAAATAGCTAATCACTGCTCGCTGTAGGTTTATGGTCGCCACGACGACCCGCGACCCCCGTGACCCCCGCGACCCCCACGACCCCAACGATGTGAGATGCACGGCGGGTCGCCCCCCGATTTCCGTTTTATTCTCCCTCCCTCCGATGGAATATTGCTGAGTTTAAAAACTCAAGTAGTTAAAGTTGAGTAAAAAAGAGACCTCTTATGGATCATTGTAAATAAATGTCTGCTCTTCGTGAAATTCGTGATTTGCTACATTTATTTGCGAGTTAATTAATGTAACGGCGAATCCACGGCGATGTTTTGTTCGCATTAATTGACCAGCGTTGTCGGCATTCTACAAACATTGGAAAGGTTTTAAGGCGCTTTGGCTGCCTTGTGCCGAACAATTTGAACTTGGATTATAACTTCATAAATAAACCAATCTGCCTTCCTGCTACATGCACAGCAAAAGCAAATCACAGGAGGAGGGAGGGGAAAAAAAGTTTTTTTTAAAATTGCAAAATTAAATTTACGCATTTCAACGGCTATCGCGAGAAACGGTCGCACGCCGTGACCTCCGACACCGCGCGCCGTGACCTCCGACACCGTGGCCACCCGCTGCTGCCTTTGTGCCGTCCTGGTTGCGAGTGTCCGTCCGTCACCGTGAGTCCTGTCCCGTCTGTGCGCCCGTCCCGTCTGCCGCGCCGCGCACCGGAATGGTTTTGCTTCTTTGAAATTCACGACCGCCGAAGGAGCATGCGTCGCCCAGGCGGGGCGGCAACAGCACAGCGCACATTAGCAAAGTTGCGTGAGAGGTGGTAAGAGTGTGTAACGCGTGACGTGAACTGAGCGAGGTTGTTATCGCGAGAGATTGGGGTTGGGGTGGGGGAGGAGACGATGATGGTGATGGTGACGGTGATGATGATGAGAGGAGGGAATTGCAAAGTGGAGCGGTGCGAGGGAAGAAGCAGAAAGAAGTGAGGTGACCTGCGGTGTTGGTGAGTGGGTCTGGGTGAGTGAGTGGGTCTGGGTGGGTGAGTGAGTGAGTGGGTCTGGGTGGGTGAGTGGGTCTGGGTGGGTGAGTGGGTCTGGGTGGGTGAGGTCAGAGCGTGGGTTTGGGTGCGTGAGTGGGTCTGGGTGAGTGAGTGGGTGGGTGGGTCTGGGTGGGTGAGGTGAGTGAGTGGGTCTGGGTGGGTGAGTGGGTCTGGGTGGGGGAGTGAGTGAGTGGGTCTGGGTGGGTGAGGTCAGAGCGTGGGTCTGGGTGGGGGAGTGGGTGGGTCTGGGTGAGCGAGGTGAGTGAGTGGGTCTGGGTGAGTGAGTGGGTCTGGGTGCGTGAGTGAGTGGGTCTGGGTGAGCGAATAAGTGGGTCTGGGTGAGCGAATAAGTGGGTCTGGGTGGGTGAGTGAGTGGGTCTGGGTGGGTGAGTGAGTGGGTCTGGGTGAGCAAGGTGAGTGAGTGAGTGGGTCTGGGTGGGTGAGGTCAGAGCGTGGGTTTGGGTGCGTGAGTGGGTCTGGGTGAGTGAGTGGGTGGGTGGGTCTGGGTGGGTGAGGTGAGTGAGTGGGTCTGGGTGGGTGAGTGGGTCTGGGTGGGGGAGTGAGTGAGTGGGTCTGGGTGGGTGAGGTCAGAGCGTGGGTCTGGGTGGGGGAGTGGGTGGGTCTGGGTGAGCGAGGTGAGTGAGTGGGTCTGGGTGAGTGAGTGGGTCTGGGTGAGTGAGTGGGTCTGGGTGAGTGAGTGGGTGGGTCTGGGTGCGTGAGTGAGTGGGTCTGGGTGGGTGAGTGAGTGGGTCTGGGTGGGTGAGTGGGTGGGTCTGGGTGTGTGAGTGAGTGGGTCTGGGTGCGTGAGTGAGTGGGTCTGGGTGGGTGAGTGGGTGGGTCTGGGTGCGTGAGTGAGTGGGTCTGGGTGGGTGAGTGGGTGGGTCTGGGTGCGTGAGTGAGTGGGTCTGGGTGAGCGAGGTGAGTGAGTGGGTCTGGGTGAGTGAAGTGGGTCTGGGTGCGTGAGTGAGTGGGTCTGGGTGCGTGAGTGAGTGGGTCTGGGTGCGTGAGTGGGTGGGTCTGGGTGCGTGAGTGAGTGGGTCTGGGTGCGTGAGTGAGTGGGTCTGGGTGCGTGAGTGGAGTGGGTCTGGGTGCGTGAGTGGGTGGATATTGATGAGTGGGTGGGTGGGTCTGGGTGGTTAGGTAAGGGGGTGGATGGGTCTGGATGATTCGGTGAGTGGGTGGGTGGGCGTCTGGATGAGCGAGCGAGTGGGTCGGTGGGTCTGGATGAGCGAGTGGGTGGGTGTGGGCGAGCAAGTGGGTGGGTGAGTGAGCAACCCAAACTATGGCCTATATATGGAGTAAACCCACTGTAGACTGCTCATTGCACAGATGAGGAGGAAGAGAAAAACTGCACTCACTCCCTTTCTTGGCCAGCAAACCCTCGACATTGGCATTTTGTACTCTTAGATGTTTTCGGTAAAGTCACGTAGGTAAAAAATTAAATTAATAAAAGTAAAATAAAAAATCACGATGTTTCGGAGGCAACACAAGCTTCCGTCTTCAGGTGGAACCGTCACAGCACGATTGCTGTATCAAGTAAGAATTGCTGTATCTTTACTTGATACAGCAATCGTGCTGTGACAGTTCCACCTGAAGACGGAAGCTTGTGTTGCCTCCGAAACGTCATGATTTTTTATTTTACTTTTATAAATTTTAATTCTATTTTTTACCTACGTGACTTTACCGAAAAAAAACCTAAGAGTATGAATCCTTGCAGTCACGAAAGCTTCACATCTAGAATTGGCATTTTGAATGGCGAGTGGGCGGGCGAGCGAGCGAGCGGAAGTGGTGGTGGCGATGAGGTGGCGGTGGTTTCACCGACAAATTTGTCCACGGTGACGTCTTGAATTGTGTGTAGAGCTTTTGTGAGCTAGCGGAAGTTGTGGCTGTGTGTAGGGTGGGTGTTAACGGGTGTGTGTGTGTAGTGTGGGTGTTAACGAGGGTGTGTGTGTGGTGTGGGTGTTAACGGGTGTGTGTGTGTGGCGTGGTAGGTTAGCACGCTGCGCTATGAACCCGGCAACCCAAGGTTGATTCCCGCTCACGGCCAACACCAATGACGATTATCTAAACCGTCCTGGGCCCTCCCCTAGGTCGACTCAGCCTCTAATGAGTACCTGGTGCGGCGTGTAAACATCGCTACTGGGGAGACAAAGGAGGTCAGGTGTGGTGCTGGCCACCCACCCAATCGTGTGCCAAGCCGGCCTTCATAGGTGCTGCTACTCGCTAACAGCACTTGCCCCAACAGTGTGTTAAGGTTATACGGGGGATCTTTGTCTTTCTGTGTGTGTAGTGTGGGCGTGGGTGCATTAACAGGTGTGCATAGTGTTTGTGTGGTAAGTGTTGTAGCGTGGATGTGTTTAGTATGGGTGTGTCAACAGGTGTGTGTAGTGTTTGTGTATGCGGTAAGTGGTGTGGGCTTTTACCAGTTGTTTGTATGGTTAGTGGTTGGTGGCATGGTTGTATCACTGGCAGTGTGTGTGGTTAGCGGTGGTGGTATGTGGTTAGTAGTGGTGGGGTGTGGTTAGTAGTGGTGGAGTGTGGTTAGCAGTGGTGGTGTGTGGTTAGTAGTGGTGGTGTGTGGTTAGTAGTGGTGGGGTGTGGTTAGTAGTGGTGGAGTGTGGTTAGCGGTGGTGGTGTGTGGTTAGCAGTGGTGGAGTGTGGCTAGCAGTGGTGGTGTGTGGCTAGCAGTGGTGGTGTGTGGTTAGTAGTGGTGGTGTGTGGTTAGCAGTGGTTGTGTGTGGCTAGCAGTGGTGGTGTGTGGTTAGCAGTGGTGGGGTGTGGTTAGTAGTGGTGGTGTGTTGCTAGCGGTTAGTGGCGTGGCTTTGTTACCGGCGGTGTGCGTCTGCAGGCATGAACACGTACCGGCCCGGCGGGACGCCCGGCGTCATCGGCTCCCAGGAGGTTTACCGCGACCCACGCGAGCGTCGCACCAATCAGAGCAAACCGTGAGTGCTCGCGTAGCACGTAGCACATGCAGCATGTACACACACACACGTAGCACGCACACACGTAGCACGCAGCATGCACACACGCAACACGCACAGACACAGCACACACACGCAGCACGCACACACGCACACACACAGCACACACACACGCAGCACGCACACACGCAACACGCACACACACAGCACACACACACGCAGCACGCACACACGCAACACACACACACACGCAGCATGCACACACGCAACACGCACACACACAGCACACACACACGCAGCACGCACACACGCAGAACGCACACACGCAGAACGCACACACGCAGAACGCACACACGCAGCACACACACAGCACACACACACGCAGCACACACGCAGAACGCACACACGCAGAACGCCCACACGCAGAACGCACACACGCAGAACGCACACACGCAGCACATGCCCAGCACATGCCCAGCACATGCGCAGCACACGCAGCACCCACACGTACACATGCAGCACGCATGCAGCACACGCAGCACACATGCAACACGCATTCACGCAGGCAGCTCACAAGCGCAGCACAAGTGCAGCTCACAATTGCAGCACACACACACACGCAGCACACGCAACACACTACGTGCACATTACACCAAGACAAACAGCTCGCACCGTGGGGCACAGTACACTCAGCACACACAGCAGTACACACAGTACACAACAATATATTCGAGTACCCAGGGTACGTAACTGGCACACAGTAGTACTTAAGAACCTCCTGTGAAACAGTTTTGACAATAGGTGAGGCTTTCCTGATTGAGGATGATGATTTTTGTAAAAATTAACAAGCTTAATGATGATGATGATGACAATTATAATTAGTGGAGATATGTTAACTACCTCGCCTGGTATACAGGAGATCGTGGGTTCGATCCTGACCCTGATGCCTGCTGCTGTATATTTGGAGTTTGCGTGTCTCTCTCATCATCATCACGGTGACTAGGAGATGTTGACTACCTCGCCTGGTATACAGGAGGTCGTGGGTTCGATCCTGACCCTGATGCCTGCTGCTGTATATTTGGAGTTTGCGTGTCTCTCTCATCATCATCACGGTGACTAGGAGATGTTGACTACCTCGCCTGGTATACAGGAGGTCGTGGGTTCGATCCCGACCCTGATGCCTGCTGCTGTATATTTGGAGTTTGCGTGTCTCTCTCTCTCTCGTCATCATCACGGTGGCTAGGAGATGTAAACTACCTCGCCTGGTGTACAGGAGGTCGTGGGTTCGATCCCGACCCTGACGCCTGCTGTGTATTCAGAGCGCACGTGCTCCCAGTGGTCACATGGATTTTTTTCGCCGGTTCCTCCGGTTTTTCCCTCCACATTGAGGATCAACATCACGCGTTCAGAGTGTTTGGCTGCTATGCATTTCCACACGATGATGATAAGGCACTTCGTTCATCTATCGTTCGTGATAGCCCAGGGTCTGTTCTGCAAAAGACGCTAAAATGGCAGCTCGGTTGTGGCCCTTGGGCTGGTGAAATAAAAATAGTTTATCTTCTTGGTTCTTTCGGTAAAGTCACGTGACATTACCCGAAAGAACCAAGAAGATGAATCCCTGCAGTCACGAAAGCTTTAAATCGAAATAAATAGTTTAGTTTAGGAACTGTGCCTATACGGGGGAAGCGGCCACGTGCAGAGGAAATGTGTTTGCGACGTCTGCAATAGCGTCTCGCTTGATGGCGCAAAACTTGGGGGGTGGGGGGAGGGGGGTGGGGGGAGGGGCATGCCGACCCGGCGACAGTGAAGTCGGAGGCGCCGCTTAAAATCACTTAAACCCGCCGAAGTGATGTAATAAAACAGAATGGCGGTGATGATCGCCGGTAACGCGCGGGGAGCCCAGCTCGAAGATCCGCCGTGTAGAAGTCGAGCATCAAAAATAGATCTTTTGAGAAGTGCCTCTCGAAGGCAGGTTAAAGAGTCGAGCGTTGCGAATGTGGAGGTGGTGGGGGGGCGATGGGGCGGTGTTGCAGGTGGAGGGGAGGGGCCGACAACGGAGAAACGACGCAATGGCGATCGCAGGGGGGGGGTCAGGGCGTCCGAGAGGCATGGAGGGCAAACCGGTCCCTGTAGGCGGTGTGACAGAAGCTCCCTCCCCGGCCACCCCGAGCGCGTGACAGTGAAACCGCCGTTGGCGTCTGGAGCGTGTGAATCCAATTGGTTGAATAAACCTTCTCCGTTAAATTTCGATTTAAAGCTTTCATGACTGCAGGGATTCTTTCGGTAAAGTCACATAGAAGGGAAGTAATAAAATAATAAAAATAAAATATAATAAAATAATTCTCACGACGTTTCGGCTTCAACGCAAGCAGCCGTCCTGCTTGAAGATGAACTTTCTCCGTGTTTTTTTTATTTCTTTCTTTCGCAGAGAGGCGGGCGAGCGCCCGAGCCCGATGCCCGAGAAGCTGCCGTTCCGTGAGCGCCAGCGCCTCTTCTCGCAGGGCCAGGACGTCGCCAACAAGATCAAGACGTCGCGCAAGCTCATGGAGCTCGAGCAGGAGCTGGGAAACAAATAAAGCGGCGAGCGGCGGTGTGCGGCGCGGCTCAGTCTGTCGCTCGCTCGCTCGGTCAGTCGGTCGGTCAATCAATCGGTCAATCAGTCGGTCGGTCAATCGGTCGGTCGATCGGTCAATCAATCGGTCGATCAGCCGGTCAATCAATCGGTCAATCAATCGGTTAATCGGTCAGTCGATAGCTCGCGTGCCCGCTCGCTCGCGGAAGACCGTCTGTGTGTCTCTCTCTCTTTGCCTCTCTGCGTCTCGGCCTCTGGCTCGGTCCGTCTGGCCCGCCGGCCGACGGAGAGAAAAGCACAACAAACGATCTGATCCGGTGGGGGGGGGGGGGGGGGTGTCTCCCCACGCTTCCTCCTCGGTGAGGCGACACCACCGCCGACGACGACGATGCTGATGATGATGATGACGACGTTGATGATGATGGGGTCCATCGCTTGGTCCGCCGTGGAAGACAGCCCTTCGTGTGGCCCCTCTGTGCCTGCCCGTCCCCCTCCCCCCGTCTTTCTCGCCATCTTTTGGCGGTGGCGTGCGCGGTGTAGCATCCATCCGGACGTCTCTCTCTGCGTCTCTCTCTGCGTCCCTGTCTCTCCCGGCTGTCCTTCCATCGCTGACGGGGCAGCGCGATCGCGAGCACGTCCTAGGATGTCTCTGCGGGGAGCGGCGATGGTAGCGGTTGGCACCGCCGCGCCACGAAGCCGGCGACCCGAGTTCGATTCCCGCTCGCGGACAACACCGGTGACGATTAACCTGGCCCAAGTCCTAGGCCTCCCCTAGGTCGACTCGGCCTCGAATTAGTACCAGGTGTGTGAAATCATCGCCACTGGTTGCTGGCCACCCACCCCCTCGTGGTACCGTGCCAGCCTTCACAGGTGCTCGCTAACAGCACTTGCCCCTACAGCCTGTTAAGGATATGCCGGGAGTGGTCTTCGTCTCTGTGCACGTGGCTGGCTTTCTCTGCACGCTGGTGGCGTCACAGCAAAGCGCACGAATGACGGCGGCATCCTTCCGCTGGGAGTCTTGTGCGCGTCGCTCGGCTGTCTTTGATCGCCCGGAACCGTATCAACGATCCGGAGAATACCTCCACGCGTCCTTGACGGGATGCACGCGTGCGTGCGTGTCGAGCCAGCACTTTGACCCTCAAAGTGCACCTGGCCTGGCACAAGCGCCGCGGTGACGTCACTGCCACTCGGTGGCGAATGGCGGCTGTTATTGGTGGTGGTGAGCCAGCACTGATGACGACGACGACGACGCTCGTTGTCGAGATGAAGGAGGGGACCCCCTGCTACTTCTGTAATATTCCCGCGCGCGTTTAGACGCGTCGAAACCTTTGGCAACGCTGAGAGCCCCCCTCGCCCCCCCAAATCCGCGACACCGCGCGGATTTTTCCCCAAAACTTCCGATTCGTCGTCGGGTCGATGGTGGAAAAAAAACCAAATCTCTCGATTGTTGTCGTCGCCGTTTTTGTTGTTTTTTTTTTCTATCCTGGCCCCCTTCCCCCCCCCCCGAGCAATAAGCTGATGTCGAAAAAACGTCGCAGATCTGACCCACTGACCCCTCATCCCCCTGCTGTGCATGGCGCGGTCGGTCGTCGCGTTGCGTACGTGCCCGTGCGGTGGTAGGTGACGGCCGTTCCCTTCTGCTGGGTTCGTTTTGCAAGAGAGCTTTTTTAAAAAAAGAATTATCGCCGATTCTAAACGATTTCCGCGGGGCGACAAAAGCACATTGTGGACTCGGGGGAAACCGCAGCGTGTTTGCGTCGGCTGCGGGACACACGGAGCATCCTCGGGTAACGATAGCAGCAGCAGCAACAACAACAGCAACAACGGCAACAACAGCAACAACAACAGCAACAACGGCAACACCAACAAGTTGTCGGTAGCTTTATTTCCTCCTCGTGTCAACTCCCAGGGTGAAGATGACGTCCGTGTTGGGGAAACGTCATCACGCGCGAGCACCGTTGCCACCTGTCCTCTGGTTGTTATTTTTTTCTCCCCCCCTTCCCCCAAGGATCCACAACCTCTTGGTTCTCAAAGGGTTAGCTGCTGGGGAAATCTCATAATCCTTGCCGGGGGGGGGTACATTAAAAATCTCTCCCGGCTTGTGTCGGTTGTGGAGTGGTAGTCGTAGTAGTAGTAATAATGTTGACGGCGATGATGAAGACGATCATTCTCCACTCGGCGATTATCCCCCTGGTTGTTGGGTAGCCTCCTCAAGGGGCGGTGGCGACGACGCCGACGGTTTAAGCTTCACCATTGGAACCTCATCGGTTTCAGCTTCGCCGTGGCACGGCGGAGGGGAACCGCCGGTGTTGTGAACTCGGTGAAGGGAGAGCGCCAAGCAGCGTGCTTTGCAAACCCCCTCTCGGTTATTTTGTTTTTATCTTAAACGGGGACACGATGGGGGGGTCACGTGGGGCGATTGATGGAACGCGTGAAATTGTATCGTGCGCGAGAGCACGTCGGTAAGATAATCAGGCGCGTCGATGAATCTGCCAATGTAAACATATAACTTGGCGATACAATTTGAATCCATGCGGTAACCCAGAACGACGAGTAAAAAGACCCCTTCCAGACTCGCCCGATCGTAAGCAACGTGGTTGCCGTGAGCAACCAGTGAGTGCGAACAAATGACGTCACGTGCGCAGAGCGACAGTTTGAGTGTTTTTTGTACACTTATTGGCAGCTAGCTAGGATTACCTCACTAAATGGACAATTGGTTATAATATTTGATGTTCATTATTCGTACTTTAATTTACTCAGAACCACGTTTGGGGGTTACTCTGTTGGAACAAAACTCAACAAAGGAGGGGGGGGGTACAGGACCTAGACCACAATCACCACCATCGTCACTATCATCACCACCACAACCACTATCATCACCACCAACAACACTGATGATGTTACCACGCCGCTTGCGCCAGGCTAGGTGCACGTTAAGGCCGCGTTGAAGTGTCGAAAGCTCCGCTGGCAGGAGGTCGCGGGACAGGCCCAGGTGCCACTATCACCACAACCACTATCCACCACTCCTCTCGTCATCACCACAACAATTATCACCACCACTCTCATCATCACCACCACTCTCATCATCACCACAACAATTATCACCACCATTCTCATCACCACCACCACTCTCACCACAACCGCTATCACCATAACCACTATCCGCCACCACTCATTATCACCACCACAACCACTATCCACCACTCCTCTCGTCATCACCACAACCACTATCACCACAATTCTCATTACCACCACCGCTATCACCATAACCACTATCCACCACCACTCATTATCACCACCACAACCGCTATCACCACAACTAGAGCCACCCCAAAATAGTTTTACTTTTGCAACGGCTTCTACTTCACAAACTTCACGTTGGCCACGATCTCTCCGCTGCTGGATGAGGACCTTCCGCCCCACGGCGTAGCTCCCCCCACCCCCCACGCCTCGATGCCAAAACTCGTCACGGCTAAACTCCCGGTAAAACACCTCCCGATTTGCACGGTCGGCTACGTGGCGTGCGAAAGAATTTGAACGTGCGTACACGCAACGTGCAATGAGAGCCGCGGGAGTTTAACAAGCGCCCCGCCTGCCCGCCCGCCCACCCGCGGGTTTAGGGGGCCGTGAGACCCAGGGGGAGTTGAACCCCCAGTGCCTGCTGACCCTACCCCCGACGAGGGCAAGTCACGAGCCCGTGCGAGATTCTTGTTGTTGTTGGCAGTGTTGATTATGCAAGTGGGATGTGTGCGACCTTCGTAGGAATGACACGGGTCGACCGTGCTCGTGGAAAAAAAAGAAATCAAAGTTTATCGCGACGCTGGTTGTGATGCCTATCGCCGCCGCGACCTTACACCACGGGTCAACTCTCAATTGTGTCCCGGTTTGAGATTTTTAACCGACCGCTCTTGCGTTAAGTAAAAAAAACAAGCCGACGTTATCATCGTGCGCCGCGACTCGCGTCCAACTCAACGCCGCCCGCCCCTCGTCGAGAGCTTTGGCCGTGAGCTCGACTGCAAACGCGTCGGCGAACGAAAGCCCCGTTGGCTCGTGAGCGCGGATTTTCAAAAATTGCAGGCGACGCATTCTCCCCTCTCCAGCCGACGATCGTTCATTTCCATCCCCCCCCCCCCCCGCTCGCTCTCCTCCGATTAGCGCGGCTCTGCTACGTACGGTGCGAACGAGGTTGAACGTACATGCACGCTACGCAGGTAACAAACAAAAATGCTTAACCCTGTCGTACGAATGTTTTGTATTGACGTCTTATATTTTATTTTTGCAACACCGCCCCCCGCTCCTCCCCCCATTACTCCAGATAAACGAGAGCTGCCTGCAGCAATATTTAATGGTTACTGTGCTATCATGGTTGTTACGGTTGAGTCGCACTTAACTGGAGCTGTCGAATTACTGTTTGGGCTCGTGGCGGTTCACGCGTCCCTCCGTCTTATCCGCCTTGCTGCGCCCATGCCCCCCCCGGGGCGACGCTACAAGTTGCGTTCCACAAAGTTGTTGCGGTCCCACTGAGCTGCGTTCAACCGAGTTGCTTTCCACAACTCGTTACGGAGCGACAGCAACATTTTAACCGAGGACGCCACGTGACGACTCAGAGCCGCTTTCAAAAACAAATCGACCTTCGTTCTGTCTGTGTCCACCCCGCCCGACTCCCAGTGTAAAAGTAAAACAATTCGTTTTCGTCTGTAGCACCGAGAGCGACACACACGCACACCACACGATCAGTTTGCAATGAAGGTGGGGTTTTGCATTCGGCCCAGTCAGCCCATAGCGTGTCCCCCCCCCCCCCCCCATGACCCCTTGCCTTAACACTGAAATCGTATTTCTCAAGACACAAGCCATCACGCGCGGAATTTTGGTCGGGTCAACAATATCGGGCACTCTGGAATCTATCGCCCCCCCCCCTCCCCCAATTAATTACGCTCGCCAAGTAACGAATAATATCGGGTTTTTTTTTTCTGCCGGTCGGCGTCTGCGTACGCACGTTTACCTATATCACGTCCGTCGTGCGGGTCGGTTGAGCGAGTTGCGTGGGCGGCTCTGCGGTCCGCGGATGGAGCTGTACATAGTACTGAAGACATATCGCGCGTGCGGCAATTCCCGCAGAAGCCGCACGGTTTTGGTGTAAATGCGGCGCTCTGACATCGTCGTCATCATTGCCGTGTTTAGTTTGTTGTCCTTCCCCGCCTAGCCCCCCCTTCTCCACCGCACCTCCCGATGAACACGGGTTGGCTGCGTGATGGCTGCGAAAGAAGTTGTGCGTGCGTCATCGTCATCATCATCATTGGTGGCGGCAGGAAGTCACGGTCGATCCACTGCCGGGTGATGCTCTCGGCTGCAACGGCAACACGTCGCGACGGTCCACCCCCAGCCAGCCGCCTGCTACGCGAACTGATTCCATATCCCCTTCTCCGCCTCCTCCGCCCTCGGTGGTGGTGGTGGTGTTGGTTGGCTGTACCGCACTGTGTACTGTATATATGTATATGAACGAGTGCGGGAAGTGCGCCCCGCTTGTGTCGTTGTTAACCCCCCGGGGGTTGGGGGGGGGGTCAGCGGCTGCCCGCGTGGTTTTTTGTTGCTTTCTCTCGCCGACTTGCTGTCGCCCGTGTCAATTCCACGCCGCTGTGCCCCGAGGAACGGTATATCGGTAAAACACTACAAAACCGGACATTTTTTTTTCCTTTCACCATTTTGGGCACAAACCTATCCAAGATGCCCGCAGTTGCCTTGCCCACATGGAGTCTGTTGGGGAGTTCCATGCTACAAAGCCCGTGGGAGCAGTGGATTGTTGCGGTTTTGACGTTGGATTGGGTCCTGGTCCAATTTCCCATGGGACCCTGCCCAACGTCCAGGCACGGTTCGTCTACGTAACGGCGCGAAGGGATTTCGACGTCGATTTTTCGGTGGTGTGGCGCGCGGTTGTCCTTCAACCACCACCACCACCCCCCCTACCCCTCTCTCTCTCTGGCGGTCTTGTGATGATACCAATCTGCCAGCGGTGGAGATGGAGCGACGATGAGATCGGATCCCGACGGCTTGTGGAGGCCTCCGTCCAGCGCTGATATCGATTCTTGAAACTAAAGTCCCATCCGGTTAAATTAAAACTGAAAGGCCCACTGAGCTCTACAACTCTTTTTTAGAAGCGACCTTGCACAAATAATAGCTCAACAGCAGAGTGACCTATCGTCATCACGTGGAAATTTGTAGCAGCCAAATATATTCTAAACACCGTGACATTGATTCTAAACGTGGAGGGAAACACCGCAGGATCCGGAGAAAATCCACGCGGCCACGGAGAGAGACACACGCAAACTCCAAATATACAGCAGGCATTGGGGTCGGGATTGAACCCACGACCTCCTGTACACCAGGCGAGGTAGTTAACATCTCCTAGCCACCGTGATGATGATGAGAGAGACACGCAGACTCCAAATATACAGCAGGCGTCGTCAGGGTCAGGATTGAACCCACGACCTCCTGTCTACCAGGCGAGGTAGTTAACATCTCCTAGCCACCGTGATGATGATGAGAGAGACACGCAGACTCCAAATATACAACAGCAGGCGTCGTCAGGGTCAGGATTGAACCCACGACCTCCTGTCGACCAGGCGAGGTCGTTAACATCTCGCCACCGTCACGCCCGAGTTGCCTAGCTTACCATTGATCATGTCGAGTTTGGTTTCATTCCCGTCCACTGCGAGTCGATGTCTGAACCGGTCTTTGGCTCCATCGCACACTTAATTTGACCAAGCCGCTTTGACCAGCATGGTGAAGTATGGTCAAATAACCCCCATGATCGACACGGATTGTAGGAGGCCTTCAATCCAGCAGTGGTTTCATTATTGTTGTATAATTCCATGGTAACGGGGAGTGAGTGGCCTTCACTTTTCGTACAGCGGCAGGCCACGTATCACAATTGCAGTTTTGAGTTGATCGCATCACGCTAGAGAGAGTGTCTCTCCACACTTTTAATCTTTAAACACTAAAAATTTAAATAAAAGTTTTATTTGTATTTTGCAACTTAATATTTTTTTTTCCTCCTTCTTGGGTAAACACTGAAAATAAGAGAAAACACATAACGTGTTGGACTTGAAAGGCAGTTATATGATAGTTTTTATCTGTAATCATGTTCTTGTTGTAATAAAACACAAACCTTGACTTCTGCTCCTGCTGTCGTGTGTCGGATGGATGCGAGAGCCGTTATCCGTCGCGTGCAACCGGTCGCGTGCAACCGGCCGCGTGCAACCGGCCGCGTGCAACCGGCCGCGTGCAACCGGTCGCGTGCAACCGCTCGCGTGCAACCGGTCGCGTGCAACCGGCTGCGTGCAACCGGCTGCGTGCAACCGGCCGCGTGCAACCGGTCGCGTGCAACCGGTCGCGTGCAACCGCTCGCGTGCAACCGCTCGCGTGCAATCGGTCGCGTGCAACCGGCCGCGTGCAACCGGCCGCGTGCAACCGGTCGCGTGCAACCGGTCGCGCTGAGTGGACACTTTTCAACGGCGTGCCACCTTCAAGAGACGTACACGAGCGACGTCAGGGGCCGTCCATAAATGACGTCACGCACATGGGGGGGGGTCAGACATTTGTGACGATGTGTGACGAGGGGGGGGGGGTTGAGAAATGTGACGTCACATCAAAATGCGCAACTTTAAATAAATATAGACAACACGTTCTACTTCATTAAATAGACTTCTTAATAAATGTTTTCTCCTACAACATCAGAGTGCAGCGCCACATTGAACACGCACTACAATGACAATAGCTTAAAGCGATTTGAAGCATGTTTTATTTTTTTTGGGGGGGAGGGGGGGGCAGAGCTTTGTGACGTCATACTTTAGGGGGGCGGTCTGACTTTTTGTCACGCCGTGTGACGAAGGGGGGTTGGGGTCAAATTGTCAAAAATCGCGTGACGTCATTTATGGACGGCCCCTTACGCGGACCAGTACCACGCATTGGACATTGGGGCACACACGTCACGATCGCAGCCTACACACGTGACGGTTCAAATGGAGCCAGATCATTCGTGGCGCGTCACGCGGTCGGATCGAGCGCGGAACGACGATCACGCGCAGAATGCGTTCGTGAATTCGGACTTTATTTGCCAGTGTCAAAGTATGAAAACATAATAATAGGGTTTCATCTTCTTGGTTCTTTCGGTAAAGTCACGTAAAAGGGAAATAAAAAAATAATAAAAATACAAAATAACACATTTTTTATTATTATTTTATTATTTCCCTTCTACGTGACTTTGCCGAAAGAACCAAGAAGATGAATCCCTGCAGTCACGAAAGCTTTAAATCGAAATGTAATAATAGGGGTTTTTTCTTTTTTTTCTGGCAAACAAAACTGAAACCTTTTTACAAGGATTCATGTCACTGCATTAACCACAATACTTGCAGTCGAAATGCAAACAAAAAACACACTATGATAATATATGCATTGTCCTTGAAACTGATTGGTCCACACAAAAGGACGGCTTTCTTTTGAGCCTCGACCCAATTGGTGCTCGACCAGAGGACGCCAAAAGGCGTACAGCTCAAAGACAATGCTGCACTATCAAAGTAATGAGTGCTCGGGGTGAGCATCTACATCACTAGACCTCCTTTGTCAGTACCAAAATATAATAATAGGGTTTTCCCCTTTATTCTGGCAACAAAACTGAAACCTTTTTACGAGGATTCATGTCTGCATTAGCCACAATACTTGCAGTCAGAACGCAAACAAAAATCATACTATGCTAATATGATTGGCATTCATCTTCTTGGTTCTTTCGGTGAAGTCACGTAGAATGGAAATAATAAAATAATATAAATAAAACATTAATAATTCTCACGACGTTTCGGCCACAACGCAAGCAGAACAGTTCTGTCTTCTCGACAGAACTGTTCTCCACCTGAGGACGGCTGCTTGCGTTGTGGCCGAAACGTCGTGAGAATTATTTTATTTTATGTTTTACTTTTATTATTTTATTACTTCCCTTCTACGTGACTTTACCAAAAGAACCAAAAAGACGAATCCCTGCACTCACGAACAGCTTTAAATCGAAATGAAGGGTAAACACACTTGATTGGTGACGTCACCGGCCGGCGGCCATATTGTGTAAATAACGACGCACGTGTTGCTGCTTTGTGACGTCACTCCACGCGCGACTCCACCCCCCCCCCTCTACAAACATGTCCGCCCGTTTAGCCCGGCGCTCGCTCCGTTACCCCTGACCAACATGGCCTCCCTCCTGCGCGTCACCGCTTTGTCTAATTAGCATAATGGGCGGGGGGGAGGGGGTCGGTCCCCGCCCTTCGCGAATTACCATAACATTTTCTCGCTTCCCATTGGTCTACACGGCGAGGTTCGCCACGCCCTAATCTAGCAAGCCCCGCCCTCGTTCCATATTAACATAACAAGCCACGCCCTCGTGTCATATTAACATAACAAGCCACGCCCTTGTTCCATATTAACATAACAGGCCACGCCCTTGTTCCATATTAACATAACAGGCCACGCCCTTGTTCCATATTAACATAACAGGCCACGCCCACGCGCGGTTATTCCAAACGGCAGTTTGAATCCACGCGAGTTTTTTTTAAACATTATGTTAATTTTTGTTAATTTATGTTAATTTATGTTAATTTATGTTAATCGCGGGTTGCCTCTCCGTAGCCACGCCCACTGGGCGTGGCTACGGAGTTTTCGTTACAAAAAGTTGCGATTCGGGAGGCGGCGGCGGCGGTGGAGGCGACCACTTCTCAGCCGAACAACAACAACAACCTACGGTAGCAGCAGCAGCTTGTAATACAACAACAACAACCACAACAACAACAACAACCACAACAACCGTCGGAGCAGCAGCTGCGCCATGGAAGCCTTCAGGGTTGCGGGGCGAGCCATCGTCAGAAGCCCCAGCGCGGGTAAAAGTTGTGGCCATAAGAGTAAGTGGTGGTGTTGTTGTGGTTGGTGGTGTGGTGTGTGTGGTGTTGTGGTTGGTGGTGGTGTTGTGGTGTGTGTTGTTGTGTGTGGTGGTTGGTGGGGTGGTGGTGTTAGTGATGTGGTGGTGATGTGGTGGTGGTGTGTGTGGTGGTTGGTGGGGTGGTGGTGGTCGTGGTGTGTGTGGTGGTTGGTGGTGGTGTGTTGTGATGGTGTGTTAGTGATGTGTGTGGTGGTGGTGGTGTGATGGTTGGTGTTGTGGTGTGTGTGTGTGGTGGTGTGATGGGTGGTGGTGTGGTTGTGGTGGTGGTGTGTGTGGTGGTGGTGTGGTAGGGTGTGTTTGTGGTGTTGTGGTGGTGATGTGTGATGGGTGGTGGTGGTGTGTGTGGTGGTGGTGTGTGTGGTGGTGATGTGGTGGTGTGGTGTGTGTTGGTGTGGTGGTAGTGGTGTGGTGTGTGTGTGGTGGTTTTGGTGGTGGGGCCGTTGATGGTGGAGATGATGGTGCAGGTTATAATGGTGGTGGAGATGGAGGTGGTGATGGTGGTGTTAATTTTGGTTGTGGTGATGTTGGGGATGGTGTGGTAGAGATTGTGGTAGTTTTAGAGATGGTGGTGGTAGTTGTGGTGATGGTGGTGATGTCGTTGATGGTGTGGTAGTTATGGTAGTGGTATGGTAGAGATGATGGTGGGTTTAGAGATGGTGGTGGTAGTTGTGGTGATGGTGTGGTAGAGATGATGGTGGATTTGGAGATGGTGAAGATGGTGATGTAGTTGATGGTGTGGTAGTTATGGTAGTGGTATGGTAGAGATTATGGTAGTTTTGGAGATGGTGGTGATGGTGATGGTTAGTTGTGGTGATGGTGTGGTAGAGATGATGGTGGATTTGGAGATGGTGGTGATGGTGATGGTGGTGCCATTGGCCGCCTCGTGTGGACTACACAGTAATTATCATTCCATAAATCGAGACGGCGATGATCAATAATCAATAATCACTCCGCATTCACCATGAACTTGGAGTGCCTGCGGGCGGTTTCGTGGTTTTACTTTCATTGACCTCTGCCACTACCCCCACCGGCTTCAAACTCCTCTCTCTCTCTCGTGTGTGTGTCTGCTGTGTGTTCATGATTGTGTTTACCACTGTTTACTATTGTGTCTTTGTGTTCACTATTGTGTCTTTGTGACCACCACTGTGTGTTCACGAGTGTGTCTTTGTGTTCACCACTGTGTTTAAGATTGTGTCTTTGTGATCAATATTGTGTCTTTGTGATCACTATTGTGTTTAAGATTGTGTCTTTGTGATCACCACTATGTTTAAGATTGTGTCTTTGTGATCAATATTGTGTCTTTGTGATCACCACTGTGTTTAAGATTGTGTCTTTGTGATCAATATTGTGTCTTTGTGATCACCACTGTGTTTAAGATTGTGTCTTTGTGATCAATATTGTGTCTTTGTGATCACCACTGTGTTTAAGATTGTGTCTGTGTGATCAATATTGTGTCTTTGTGATCACCACTGTGTTTAAGATTGTGTCTTTGTGATCAATATTGTGTCTTTGTGATCACCACTGTGTTTAAGATTGTGTCTTTGTGATCAATATTGTGTCTTTGTGATCACCACTGTGTTTAAGATTGTGTCTTTGTGATCAATATTGTGTCTTTGTGATCACCACTGTGTTTAAGATTGTGTCTTTGTGATCAATATTGTGTCTTTGTGATCACCACTGTGTTTAATATTGTGTCTTTGTGATCACTATTGTGTCTTTGATCACCACTGTGTTTAATATTGTGTCTTTGTGATCACGATTGTGTCTTTGTGATCACCACTGTGTTCACGATTGTGTCTTTGTGATCACCACTATGTATTCACGATTGTGTCTTTATGCTCACCACTGTGTTTAAGATTGTGTCTTTGTGATCAATATTGTGTCTTTGTGATCACCACTGTGTTTAATATTGTGTCTTTGTGATCACTATTGTGTCTTTGTGATCACCACTGTGTTTAAGATTGTGTCTTTGTGATCACCACTGTGTTTAAGATTGTGTCTTTGTGATCAATATTGTGTCTTTGTGATCACCACTGTGTTTAAGATTGTGTCTTTGTGATCACCACTGTGTATTCACGATTGTGTCTTTATGCTCACCACTGTGTTTAAGATTGTGTCTTTGTGATCACCACTGTGTGTTCATGATTGTGTCTTTGTGCTCACGATTGTGTCTTTGTGATCACCACTGTGTGTTGACGATTGTGTCTTCAGTGTGTGTTTACTATTTTACCGGCTGTTTCATTTTGTGACTTCAGAGATGACGCATCATCATCATCATTTACAAATGATTATTATATTTAAAATAATAAATTCATTTTCAGGAATTCGGCTAAAGCTGTTGTTCAATCCACGCCGTTCCCATCCCCAACATCGACCCATGTCCCCCCCCCCTTCCACCACCGCAAGTTTTTAAAGTCCTAATAAAAATATAATAAAGTTATAGAGAAGAGAAATAATACCTTGCTAAAGTCAAATAACGGATATTTTATTTTGTAAAAAAAAAAATCGTATTATCGGTTACTCCTTGAGTTAGTGCTGTTTCATCTTCATGGTTCTTTCGGTAAAGTCACGTAGAAAGGAAATAATAAAATATTAAAAATAAAACATTATTTATTATGTTTTATTAAAATAATAAAAATAAAACATTATTTATTATGGTTTATTTGTATTATTTTATAATTTATTAAGTTTTACTTTTATTATTTTATTATTTCCCTTCTACGTGACTTTACCGAAAGAACCAAGAAGATGAATCCCTGCAGTCACAAAAGCTTTAAATCGAAATTTAGTGCTGTTTCTCGCTGGCCGTATGGCGTTTTGTGGTCCAGAGAGAGAGAGAGAGGGGGGGGACCTCAGTGTTGATGGTCTCGTGTCCCCGACCTCTAACTTCTTTCGCACCCTACGTAGACCACCCGTGATTCAGTCACCGCAGACAAAGATCCCCCGTGTAGCCTCAGCAGACTGTTGGGGCAAGTGCTGTTGGCGAGTAGCAGCAGCGCCTGTGATGTGATTGGGTGGCAAAGCACCACGCCCGGGCCGCCTTTGTCTCTCCCGCAACGCACCAGGCTACTCATTTGAGGCCGAGTCGACCTAGGGGAAGGCCCAAGGGCCGGTTTCGTCGGTGTGGTGTCGGTGTTGGCTGCGTCCACCGCTGCGCCACCGCTCTTCGCCACGGAATCGCCTCCGACCGAGTGATCCGCCCGGCTTGTCGCACAACAATCCCATTTCGTCGCTCCGTCTCCACCGCGGCCGAGCCACTCGCTGGGCGCGCGTGATCCCTCGCTCCCTCCTTGGACTGCCACTCCACTGTTAGTCTCTGCCCTGACGCCTGCAGGCTGACAGCCCCTCCCACTTGCATGCTCGTGGAGGGAGACACCCATAGAGATGCATGGAGATGCATAGAGACCCATAGAGATGCATAGACACCCATAGACATACATAGAGACCCATAGAGATACATAGATACATAGACCCACGACCTCCTGTACACCAGGCGAGGTAGTTAACATCACCTAGCCACCATGATGATGATGAGAGGGAGACATGCAAACTCCAAATATACAGCAGCAGGCGTCGGGGTCGGGATCGAACCCACGACCTCTTGTATACCAGGCGAGGTAGTTAACATCTCCTAGCCACCGTGATGATGATGAGAGAGAGACATGCAAACTCCAAATATACAGCAGCAGGCGTCGGGGTCGGGATCGAACCCACGACCTCTTGTATACCAGGCGAGGTAGTTAACATCTCATAGCCACCGTGATGATGATGAGAGAGAGACATGCAAACTCCAAATATACAGCAGCAGGCGTCGGGGTCGGGATCGAACCCACGACCTCTTGTATACCAGGTGAGGTAGTTAACATCTCACCAGAATCTTAATATTTATTTAGTCTGGACGAGTCCGATGAATTGTGAAGCGCTGTGTCACAGATGTCCAGTCGATGTAGTGTGGGGGGGTTCCGTGTGGCCCACAGAATTTGAATAGTTTTTTGGCGATCCATTTATAGATACAAGGCTTTGTCCATATGGAGAAGTTGCGGAGAGCGTTACATTGTTATCTCAAGACAAAGATCCCCCGTGTAGCCTTCAACAGACTGCCGGGGCAAGTGCTGTTGGCGAGCAGCGCCTATGAGGGTCGGCACTGCACACGCAGGGGTAAGGAGGCCAGCGCCACGCCCGGCCGCCTTTGTCTCCCCATTGATGACGTTTGCTTCGCACCGCACCGGGTACTTGCTTAAGGCCGAGTCGACCTAGGGGAGGCTCCGAACCGCTTTCGGATAATTATAATCCGATAAGCGGTTCGATTATAATCGTCACCGCTGTTTGGCCACGAGGCAGGAATCGAACTCTGGTCGCCGGGTTCTTGTTCGTGAAACGTCTTTCGCGCCGTACATAGCCGTGATCGGAGGGGTAGGGGGGGTTTGTAGCGGGGGCGCGCTAACCGCTGCGCCACCACTCCCCCCCCCCCCTCCTCCTCAAGAGCTCACCACTGTTGACCGATACCGACCGCCAATCCTTTAGCGCTGTCCTCTGGAGGTAATGGGCAGCATGGCGCCGCCAATAAACTGAAAACGTGTTGGTATTTTTAACACATTTCTGCGGAGGGAGCTGGTAGGAACGTTGGGTTGCTCGGGCAATGGCCTGCAGGGTCAACGGCGGCGTGGTGTATTCCGCAAATATGCCCGACTGTGAGGGCGGGCACAAGCCGGCGTGAGTAGGTTAAACGTTGAGTTGTATAAGGGCACCATGGGGTGACCAGCCCCTCCCCACCCAGCCCCACCCCTCCCATTTTTGGATGCACGATGGACGGACGCAATAATCCCCTGTGGGCTGGTGGAACCAGGAGGTTCCTACCAGTAAAACATACTTTGCCAGCTAAAGCCCCACTAAGCTGCAACGTGGCTTTTTATTGTCAGAAGTGAACCCCGGCTATCGCAAATGATAGCCCAGAGAAAGGGG